GAAAAGAAGACCAAGGTTTTACCAAATGAATAATTCGTGAACCGCAAGTCTAAAACTTCTGGCATCTCAAATTAGTGAAAACATTTTTTTTTTTTTGAGACAGAGTCTCACTATGTCACCCTCGGTAGAATGCTGTGGCATCACAGCTCACAGCAACCTCCAACTCCTGGGCTCAAGCAAGTCTCCTGCCTCAGCCTCCCAAGTAGCTGGGACTTCAGGCACTTGCCACAACACCTGGCTATTTTTTGGTTGCAGCCATCGTTGTTTGGCAGGCCCAGGCTGGATTTGAACCCTCCAGCTCAGGTGTATATGGCTGGCGCCTTAGCTGCTTGAGCCACAGGTGCCGAGCCTATAGGAAAACTTTAGATGATAGAAAAGTTCTTTGTCAGATCAGAAGGCTTCAAATGTCATTAACACTTGTAAACCTGGGAGGCCGAGGCAGGTGAATTGCTTGACCCCAAGAGTTCAAGGCTTCAGTGAGCTATGACTGGGCCACTTTACTGCAGCCTGGGTGACAAAGTGAGACCCTGTCTCAAAAAAAAGTTGTCTTGAAACTGATCATACAACTCTAGCCGGGTATGGTGCCTCACACCTGTAATCCCAACACTCCAGAAGGCCAAGGCAGGTGGATTGCTTGAGCTCAGGAGTTCGAGACCAACCTAAGCAAGGGTAAGACCCCGTCTCTATAAAAAAAGTCCAGGGACAGCTATTCAGGAGGCTGAGGTGAAAGGATCACTTGAGCCCAAGAGTTTGAGGTTGCTATGAGGTATGATGCTACAGCACTCTATCCAGGGTGACACAGTGAGATTATCTCCAAAAAAACAAAAACAAAAAAACCCCCCAAAATAGGAAAATAGGAAAATTATATAGTACCTTAGAGTTAGAAGGTAACTGACAATATGTTTGGGTTGAAGGTCCAGAGACGATCTATAAAGCACCTCATCAAACCTAAGAGAAGAAAGACAGGAGCAGGGAAGACCACACATGTCACACGGGCTGAGACACGAAGTGTCACAAAACTCTGCATGTGAGACTGACTGGACATGCGTAAGAGTAGAAGGCATAGGGGGAAAAAAGCCTGTGCATTTGAAGGCAGAGGCACTTTTTTTTCCTTACAAATTCCTTGATGGCAGAGACTTTCTAAATCATCTTGATATTCCCTAGACCTAGTCCAGAGCAGAAACTTAAATCATGGCTGTTAAATTGAATGTAAAAAAGCTTCTGGCCACATTTATAGGCATAAAATACAAACTAGCAAACAAAGTCTACCCCTAGTGCTGTGAAAACCAGGTAGGCTTATTGTTCTTCACATGAGCTACATGTGAGTAAACTACTCTGATCCCAGAAAAGAACCACTGACTATGGAATGGCAATCAAAGAAAAGTGATTTGTTCATACCCACCAAAGTCCTTTCTAGAAACTTATTACCTAGTGACAGTCTACCCAGCAATGCTTCTAAGAGTAGAAAAGTGTGGTCTCTGGCTTTGTGTGGGGGCAGCAGCTGGACTTGTATATTTGAGACTATGAACTGACACCAAGAGGCACATGAGGGACCTGTGGTCTCTGGGGAGTTCCACAAAGGCAGGGAGTTTCCTTCACTTATCAGGAAGAGAGAATAGATGCTTTTTTCCAACACTAAAAATTATGTTTTTATTGGCTTTACGTGGGCTAGAGGAAGCCAAGCATCTGTGCTAATTCAGCAGTGATAAGATTTACCCCGAAAATTGGCCTCATCCATGCTCTCTGTTTGCCCTCAAAAGGCAGAAAACTGACTTGGGGTATACTTCTGGGTAAAGTCCAGAGACAGGAGGCACCTGTTGGCTTCTTGACTCCAGTGGTCAGCAAGAATGCCATTTCAAGAAACAGGAGCAGACATGATACCAGAAAACCTTCATACCTGAGAAGATGCTGGAGAATTGAAACAGACTGTGGCTCTTGTAAACAAGCCATGTTGAAGTCATTCAGGTAACCACATCCAAAAGTCTCTTCCAAACTGTTAAAAACATCAAAGGATTAAAGAAGGGCACATAGCTGCAAGTGATGAACATTACCCCTAATCCCCAATTCTGAGCTCCTTAGTATGACTTTGAGGATACCTACATTTTCCCTAAATTTGTTTATCTGTACAATGGAAGCAACAGTAGTATATTCTTTGGTAGGTTATTCTGAGGACTAAAGAAGGTAATACACATAAATATATTTTTTTATAGAGGTGCTCAATAAATATTTTTTCTAAAAAAGAGGTCCACTGTACTTTAACCAGATTTGAATAGGTATTGGAGAAGCCCAGAAAACAGGGCCTTTGGTATTAGAATCACACCGGCCAATGACTCAGCCTGGAGAAGGACCCATAGCAAGATGTTTCCCTGCAGCTCTTTGTACCTATGGAGGCGGGCGTGTGTGTATTGTAGGAAGACTCCTGTATCTCCACGACTCTGGAAAACACGATCCCAGCTGAACTGATAGTCAGATAAGAGTAAACCTTTGAAGTCCTAAAATGACAGGGCAAATCTTCAGTGCTAAGAATTGATCTAGTATTAAACAAAAAGGTTTCACAGGTAGGATCTTAACAGACCTGAATAATGAGTGCTGCGAGCCCAACCTTCTCTGCAGTCTCCTGGGGGTTCTCAAGTTCTTTAGTTGCTGAAATGAAAAAAGGCAGCTATCTTTGAACTGTATCACATCGTGCCAGATCATGAACCAAAGTGGACATAAAATCTGCGAAAAATATATGCTGAAAATCTAGAATAGTTTTACAGTGGACAATTTACTTTCCTAATTTAGGTTAATTTACGTCTGATAAAGACATTTTTTCCTGCCTAAAATTAAAGAGGAAGAAATTCAAATTTATTTTTCTTATAAATACCCTTTATAAGATATCAAACATAACAAATACTTAGTTTCCCAATAGTGAAGGATAAATGAAGTCATAAGGACTTGTGACTTGTATCCAATTTATATATATATATATGAACTTCACATAACCATACAGACAAGGGAAAAAACAATGCTAAAGCTGTCCATGAAAAGAAGACCAAGGTTTTACCAAATGAATAATTCGTGAACCGCAAGTCTAAAACTTCTGGCATCTCAAATTAGTGAAAACATTTTTTTTTTTTTGAGACAGAGTCTCACTATGTCACCCTCGGTAGAATGCTGTGGCATCACAGCTTACAGCAACCTCAAACTCTTGGGCTTAAGCGATTTTCTTGCCTCAGCCTCCCAAGTAATTGGGACTATAGGCTCCCACCACAACGCCCGGCTATTTTACTGTTTCACTTATTTAGTTGGCTCGGGCTGGGTTTGAACGTGCCACCGTTGGTGTATGTGGCTGGCACCTAACTGCTGTGCTATGGGCACCATCCAGTAAAAGCTATTTTTGATAAAGTTAGTTGACACTTCAATGGAGGAATAGTCATAATATATCACACTGCCAAAAAGTCCAGCAAAGTACAGAAGTGGTATGTAAGTTATAACTTTTAACAATAAAAACTGAACTCACTCTTAATAGAAGCCATGTTCTGTAGCATCCTTAACTGAATCTCATTTAAAACATCTTCCAGAAAAGTGACCTCGCCTCTTCGAGTCTTCATCCCTTGCACTACTCCAAAGGGCACATGATGGCACCTGAAATACACTGGGTCTTTTGTAAACTGAAAGCTGACAGAGCTGTGAACCAAAGTGTACAGTAGAACGTTTTCACAGAGTAGTCTGAACTAAAAAGTTAAAAAAATGAAACACAGGTTCATCTTACAGAGATAATCACTAGCATATGATTAAATTACTAGTTCCTTTTAGGAGAAAAAGGAGATGAGGACTAAGAATCTTGAAAAGTAAGCCACTGAGAGTGGATATCTAACAAAAATACACCTTTTTATTGTTTATAAGCTTGAAACTACTATAACCAAGACATAAATCTGCTTTTCCACACTAACACTTTGAAAAAAAAAGAACTGAAGTTTGAATGAGAAACTCCACTAGGTGCATTTTCAGGTTTAGCTGACCTCACAAATCCTTACTGAAACAGAACAGGCAACAGGAAACCATGCAGACAGTACCTTTCTGCCCAGTCATATCCCATGGTCTTCAGTATTTGGAACACTTGCTGAAAATGCTTTTTTTGTCCTTTATCTGTCTTGGGAAGAAAATGTATTTAAAATAACAGTGATAAAATAATCTACAAAAATCAGTTGGACAATATTAACATATCTGAGTTTTGACAAACTAAAGTCACTGTCAATGTTTTAAATAAACACAGAGAACGCCACTGGAAGGATGGCTCAGTGCTCTACCAGTGAGGAAAATGAAAGCTGCAACACTCCACTAAGGAGGAAAAAGGAACTTCAACTCTCTGAGGGTTATATTTAAAATTCCTTCCCTTGATCAAAAAACAGTAATGCCTCAGGATATAAAGTCAGTGTCCACAAATCAGTAAGTAGCGTTTGTATATGCCAATAACGGCCAAGATGAGAAGCTAATCAAGGACATAATTCCCTTCTCAGTACCTTGAAATACCAAGAAATGAAATACCTAGGAATATATCTAACAAAAGAGGTGAAGGACCTCTATAAGAAAACTACAAAACCCTAAGAAAAGAAATAGCAGAGGATATTAACAAATGGAAGAACATGCCATGCTCATAGCTGGGAAGAATCAACATTGTCGAAATGTCTATACTTCTCAAAGCATTCTATAGATTCAATGCAATCCCTAGTAAAATACCATCATTATACTTTTTAAGATTTGGAAAAAATAACTCTCCCTTTTGTATGGAACCAGAAAAAACCCTATATAGCCAAGGCAATTCTTAGTAGTAACAAAGCTGGGGGCATCAGCCTACCAGATTTTAGGCAGTACTACAAGGCCATAGTTATCAAAACAGTGTGATTTGGCACAAAAATAAAGACACAGAATTCTGGAACCAAAAAGACAACCAAGAGCCAAAACTAATATCTTACAAGAACATACACTGGGGGAAAGAATCCCTATTCAATAAACGGTGCTGGGAGAACTGGATAACAACATGTATAAAACAGAAACTGAACTCGCACTTTACTCACAAAAATTCATTCAAGATGGATAATAGATTTAAATCTAAGGCATGAAACAATAAAAATCCTTGAAGAAAGTGTGGGGAAAATACTTGAAGTTATCAGTCTGGGGAAAGACTTTATGAAGACTTCAGTGGCAATTGCAACAACAACAAAAATAAACAAATGGGACTTAATTAAACTGAAAAGCTTCTGTACAGCTAAGGAGACAATAACCAAAGCAAACAGATAACCATCAGAATGGGAAAAGATAGTTGCATATTATGAATTGGACAAAAGCTTCCTAACTAGGATCTATAGAGAACTCAAATTAATCAACAAAAAAAAGCCAACAATCCTTTATATCTCTGGGCAACAGAGACGAATAGAACCTTCTCTAAAGAAGATAGAAGAATGGCTAACAAACACAGGAAAAAATGCTCATCGTCTCTAAGTATCAGAGAAATACAAATCAAAACCACCCTAAGATATCACATAACCCTGGTGAGGATAGCCCATGTCACAAAATCTCAAAGCTGCAGATGCTGGTGTGGATGTGGAGAGAAAGGAACACTTTTCCACTGCCGGTGGGACTGTAATATAACCTCTTTGGAAGAAAGTATGGAGAATTCTCAAATAACTCAAATTAGACTTCCCATTTGATCCTGCAATCTCATTACTGGGCATCTACCCAGAAGAAAAAAATCATTTTATCATAAGAACTATTTATTGCAGCTCAATTTACAAATGCCAAATTGTGGAAACAACCTAAATGCCCACCAATCCAGGAATGGATTACCAAGCTATGGTATATGTATACCATGAAATACTATTCAGCCATCAAAAAGATGGAGACTTTACAACTTTTGTATTAACGGGGATGGAAGTGGAACACATTCTTCTTAGTAAAGCATCACAAGAACGGAGAAGCAAGAATCCGTTCAATTCTGATATGAGGACAATTGATGACCTAGTACATGGTGGGGGTGGGGAGGATGGGGGAGCCAAGAGAGGGATGAGAGGAGGGCTAATGGGGGTTTCTGGTATGTGACACAACTTTGGGGGGGGGAGGACACAGTTATAAGAGGGACTTTACCTAACAAATGCAATCAGTATAACCTGGTTCTTTGTACCCTCAATGAATCCCAAACAATAAAAAATAAATAAAATAAAATTCCTTCTCTCTCAATTCTTATAAACTTCATCTCTAAGATGACCAAAGGTAAGCTCTAAAAAGATGTTTGATGTTAGCTTTTTTCTTAGTGGAAAAGAAAAGGAAGGAAAGGGGAGAAGAACTAGAACATCACTCATCAATGGAAAGGAACAAACTAGGCTCAGCATCCATAGCACAGTGGTTACGGCGCCAGCCACATACACCAAGGCTGGTGGGTTTGAACCTGGCCTGGGCCAGCTAAAGAACAATGACAACTGCAATAAAAAAAGAGCCAGGTGTTGTGGCGGGCGCCTGTTAGTCTCAGAAACTTGGGAGGCTGAGGCAAGAGAATCGCTTAAGCCCAAGAGTTTGAGGTTGCTGTGAGCTGTAATGCCACAGGCACTCAATTGAGGGCGACATAGTGAGCCTCTGTCTTTAAAAACAAACAAACAAACAAACAAACAAACCAAAAAGGAACAAACTAGTAAAACACACAATAGCGTGGATGGATCTCAAAGGTATTTGTTATACTAAGTGAAAAAAGCCAATCACAAAAGGCTACTTATTTTATGATTACATTTATATAGTATTCTCAAAGTGACAAAATTGTTATGAGGGAGAACAGAGCAGTGCTTGCCAGGGTTTAGCTGGCTGACCAGGAACAAGTTTATTTTGTGATGGAAACGTTCTGCATTCTGAACGTTGTGACGAAATCTATACATGGGGTAAAATGTCATAAAACAGTATCTACACAAACATCCACACCCATACAAGCACATGTATAAAACTAGTGAAGTCTGAATAAGGTCCCTAACCAATGTCAACTTCTTGATACTGACAAAGTACTAAGATTATGTAAGATATTATCTTTGGGGGAAACTAAGTGAATAGTACGATGAAATACTTTTTTGTGATTCTTAAACTCTTTTAAAATAAAAAAGTTATTTAAAAACAACTGCATTATAGTAAGCTGCCCATATTAACTTCTCATAAACTTTTTTTCTTATAAGGGTAAGTTTTTGTTACTAAGAAGCAAAATAAAAGTTTTCATTATTTTAAGACTTAAATTTTAAATAGAGGTTGCCATTTCAAAAACACTTAATATTGAATTTTCTCTGTAGTATAACAAAATGTTTCCACAGTTTTTTAACACAGGATCTGGTTTCTCGCTGTATAGTTCTCACAAGTTAGGGATCCTAACTTTTGGTTCTTTATTGTGATTACTTACCACATAAATCATTGCATCAAAATTATACTTGTCCATTCGATCTATAGCGGCTGCAATATCTCTGAAAAATGGCCATAATTCAAGAGTTACTAAATAGCTCTGGGTAATAATCTGTTTTATTGATTTAATAGCGATGAGAATTTTCTAATTAAGAACTCCAATTATCACTCACCCTGGGGTGGCCCACCTTTGCTTGTGTTTGTATAATACCATGCCACACTTTGATAGAAAGCAATAATAACAAAAATAAGTTTGAGAAAAGCAATAATGTTAATAAAAGCACCAGAAAAAGCAATAAAATCCAAAAATAAAATAAAAGCTCTACAACAAGAAGTAAGAATAACTAAAATAGCTCTGGGCAAAGTGTCTTATAGATAAATGTTTTATGATTAAGCTTCTACTGAAAAAAATCCTAATTGTCACTTTTTTGGAATACAGTCTTATAAAGAACATACTTAAAATATAGGTGACATAGTACATAAAAAGTATCTTCTAGACATTCTGCTATTAGTACTACCAAGGACTTTCAAAGACTTGGGTTGGTTAGAAGCAGTACCTTCTAAGTCTAAAGGATTTTAAAAGACCATCAAATTCCTTGGCAAAAATTTCATTTATCTTTTTAATCTCTGATTAAATGCAAAATACTCAGTTTGCACATGAAATTTCATAAACTGAAATTTCTAGCCAAGGATTATGAAAATATTGAAGTTATGATTAAAAGCTATTTTTGGTTAGTAATATATGATATTGGGAAGAATTAAAAAATTCCTAGATCTTTTGTTATTCGTACTTATCCTCATGGACCTGACACTATACAGAACGTGCATTCTCTCTCTTTTTTTTTTTTTATTTTTTAGAATGTGCATTCTCAATGGAGACAAAAAAATCTTACTCTTTATTTATAAAGCACAAGTATGCATACAACATATGTAGAGATACAGAATATCAATGGTATTAAAATAGTATGAGGGTTGACAATTAGTGAAAATATGGCTAAAAGGTTCCTTTGAGAAGTTATAGTAAAAAAATTAAGAAACACTGGTATAGAAGATTATCACAAAAATGATGTAACAAAGGCACACTCCTGTTATATGTTTTGGTTTCAGCCCAGGAAAAAAACAAACAGGAACCTTCTGACCTGATGAAAAGACAAAAGAGAAGAATACTAGAAAAAGTTCTAGGTTAAATTTGCAGAAACTGAATTTGAATGCCAGAAATAAAGCCAGGGCATTCTGCCCAGGTCTGTCACTCAAAAAGCAGAGAATCACAGCCCACTGAATTGAGTGAGGGTCATGGAGTCAGAGCAAAAGCCCAGGTCTTCAGCTTCCTGTTTTGCTCCTTTCAGTATTCCGCACTGCTCTTTGTCTGCTTTAAGAACTCTATTATTTACAACCCCCACCCCTAGATATATTCTATGAGAAACCCATTAAAAGGCAGAAACCACTAAAATTACAGCAAAGTGAAAAATCAGACATCCCAACAAATGGCCCAAAAGTTATTTTCCCAAAGGAAAAAAAGAGAAAGTATAGGTGTTAGGGAAAATATACTGAGACCTCTAGACCCAATGATACCCTGAAAAAGATAACCAATCAGGATAGTAATGGAGACTTTATATCATAAAGCCTCTATTCTGATGGGGCTTTTCCCAAAGAAAAATCTAGGTGTTGAAAAAATCTAGACCTGGCAGCACCCACAGCTCAGTGGGTAGGCCGCCAGCCACATACACCGAGGCTGGTGGGTTGAACCCGGCCAGGTCAGCTAAACAACGACAACTACAACAACAAAAATAGTCAGGCATTGTGGCAGGCACCTGTAGTCCCTATTTGGGAGGCTAAGGCAAGAGAATTGCTTAGCCCAAGAGTTTGAGGTTGCTGTGAGCTGTGACGCCATGGCATTCTACCTAGGACAACAGCTTGAGACTGTCTCAAAAAGAAAGAAAAATCTAGACCTAAGGAAGGATAGCCTCCTTCCCCCCAAATATCAGGGTAGTTCTATAGTCTTTATGATGTGGAGCCTCTATTCTCAACGGACATTTCTCTTTCTTTCTTTTTTTTTTTTTAAGAGACAGAATCTCACTTTATCACCCTTGGTAAAGTGCTGTTACGAACAACTCATAGCAACCTCCAACTCCTGGGCTTTGGCGATTCTCTTGCCTTAGCCTCTGGAGTAGCTGGGACTACAGGCACCCACCACAACGCCAGGCTATTTTTTGTTGCAGTTTGGTTTGAACCCGCCACCCTTGGTACATGGGGCTGGCACCCTACCCATTGAGCCACAGGTGCTGCCCTCAAAGGACATTTCTTATAACCACTGTATAGGGGCTTATTTAATATATTTAGCAATAATTAGCTGGCAAAAAGATAGTTTTCCACTAATTTTTTTTCTTAACCTTGAAGAAGAATGTACTTTTTGCCCTTGGGATAGTGCTGTGGTGTCACAGCTCACAGCAACCTCCAGCTCTTGGGCTTAGGCGATTCTCTTGCCTCAGTTTCCCAAGTAGCAGGGACTACTGGCACCCACCACAATACCTGGCTATTTTTTGTTGCACCTTGGCTGGGGCTGGTGAACAGTATATGGGGCCAGTGCCCTACTCACTGTGCCACAGGTGCCACCTGAATGTACTTATATATAGTATAGGTTCTTCTCACTTTCTAACCCCAGTTGCATGGAACTGATAAAGGGTAATGTTAAAAGTAACAGAAGGTAGGAGATGAATTCTCTAAGAAGCAGTATGTCTTTTTTTCTTTTCTTTTTTTGAGAGTCTTACTGTGTCACCCTTGGTAGAGTGCTGTGACATCATAGCTCACAGCAACCTCAAATTCTTGGGCTTAAGCAATTCTCTTGCCTCAGCCTCCCAAGTAGCTGGGACTACAGGTGCCCACCACAATGCCCAGCTATTGTTTTATTGCAGCTGTCATTGTTGTTTAGTTGGCCTGGTCTGGGTTCAAACCTGCCACCCTTGGTGCATGTGGCCGGCACCGTAACCACTGTGTTACAGGTGCCGAGCCAGTAAGTCACGATTGGTTGTTTAAAGTTGTTTGGAACAAATGATAGTTAATAACAGCAACAAAAAAATATCATTATGTTATAAAAGTAGTTTGTGACTTAACAGAAAACTCTGGCCTGTGAGACACGTGTCAGCAGTACTTGACTGCAGTCGTGTTTGCTTGTGTGGATTCTACTGTCTTACGCCTTATCTTCCCATTAGTCTTGTCCCAGAAATAAATGTGTTTGATAAACTAGTTCTTACATAACAAAGATTGCACCCTTCCACAAGGGTCAGTCATAAAGATGAATGAAAAAATATGTAAGTGACATGGCTACTCCCTTGGCCTATTCTACCATGATCATAAAGAGGTCTGTATTGTGTGCACGTGTCTAAGACAGTCTTTACGGTGTGAGGACACCACTGAGCTAATATGGTCATCTTTTAGCATGCATTTCCAGCCATTGTGCAATTGTAAAATACCTATAGTTGAATATAAAGTACATCAGTTTTATAGTTTGTAGTACAATGTATTCAGCTGTGGAATCCTACAATGTCTACCTACTTGTAAACAGTTTTGGGGTCACTTTTCTGATGACAACCTTCCCAGGAACTGTAACTGGCAATAAACAGAAATTCAATTTTTTGTACTGTGAAAGCAGTAGATTTAGAACCTGCAACTAGGATTTCGTAATAGATGGGGATAAAATGATTGTTTTGACTAGGAACTTGAAGTCATGCTCACATCCCACTGTCTGCCCTCACCAGTTACAGACCTGGTTGTATAGAGAGAAGTCCCGTCACTTCGCATTACAGTGCAAATGGAGGAGGGGTCGTCATTCCCAGAGAGATCGACTACCGCAGTTCCTTTTCTAGATATGCAGAAAGGTAACTCTGAAGTAACATAATAAATTAAGACTTTTAAAAGTATAACATCTACAACCTTATCTTTGGCACACCAGAAGCTAATTTTTATTACTCAAGTAGGAATAAGCAGTGTCAATGCAAGGTTTAACCACCAACGGGAAAAAAATAGACGAAATATAAGCAAAAATCTCTGAAGACTGGGCACGGTGTAATTAATATTTAGCTATCCTATCTTTTTTTCTTTTTTGAGACAGAGTCTCACTATGTCACCCTGGGTAGAGTGCCATAGCATCACAGCTCACAGCAACCTCAAACTCTTGGGCGCCTCCCAACTAACTGGGACTATAGGCGCCTGCCACAACCCCTGGCTATTTTTTGTTGTAGTTGTCATATGTTGTTTAGCTGGCCTGGGCTGGGTTTGAACCTGCCAGCACTGGTGTGTGTGGCTAGCGCCCTGAGCTACAGGCACCAAGCCTATCCTATCTTTTTTTAAATCTGTTTCTTTGGATAAGGTATTTAGCTAAAATCTTTAATACACTCAGTTGAAAAATTATATGCATCTGCAGCTTAACTATGAAATGAATCTTCTTCTAATCAAGTTATTATAATATTCAATATTGGTTTAATTTTTTTACTATGCCAGAAATTATTCCTGAGTATTAAAACCACAAAATTTTGTCATTGTCTTTCCTGCCTGATTAAAAATTGGAATCTGTACGACAATCTGAAAATTTGTCTTAAAGACATTACTGAAGATGCTATTAACCACATGCTCCATGTCTTCTTATAAAGGTGACAGAAGAAATTTTGCTTTGGTACTATAAAAACAAACCCTTCTCTCAAGCAACTGGTTGCTTCTGTATTTCAGATGCTCCTGTGACAGGTGCTATTTCTCTGTTTAGCTGACGGAGAAATTTTCTTCCTCTCTAAGTTAGAAAGCAAGAAAAAGTTAAAAGGCATCCAAACTGGAAAAGCAGATAAATTGCCTGTTTGCAGGCCAACAACATCTAGTAAATGGAAAACCTTAGAGATGTCATCAAAAACTGTCAGAACTAATAAAGATCATAGTAAAGCTATATTATACAAAAAATCAACACACAAAGGTCAGGAGCATTTCTACCACTAACAATTAACTATCCGGACATAAAATCAAGAAAAACAATTGTATTTATGATGCAAGAAAAACTACAATACTTAGGAATAAATTTTACACTGAAAACTATATAACACTGATGAAAAACATTAAGACAGAAATAACTGGAAAGATATCCCACGCACATGACTAAAAGAATATTAGATGACCAGCCTACCCAAATAAATGTATAAATTCAATATAATCCCTATTGAAATGCCAACGTTTTTTCACCGGAACTCATATGAAACCCAAACAGCCAAGGCAGTATGGAGCAAAAAGTATAAAGATGGAGGCATCACATTATCTAATCTCAAAATCTACTACAAAGCTATAGTAAATCAAAACTATATCACACTGGTACAAAAATAGACACAGAGACCAATGGAACAGAATAGAGAGCCTAAGTACCAATCCACACATTTATGGTCAACTGATCTTCAGTAAAGGTACCTGAAAGACCTAATGAATAAAGGACAGTCTTCAATAAATGGTGCTAGGAAAACTGGATATACACATGAAGAATAAAACTGGATTCTCAACTTATATAAAAATCAACTCAAAATGGATTAAAGATTTAAACCTAAGTCCTGAAGCTATAAAACTATTGGAAGAAAACACAAAGGAAAAGGTTTGTGACATTGGTCTTGACAAATATTTCTTGAATGCGGACTTCAGATCATAGCTAACAAAAGAAAATAGACAAATAGGATTGCATCAAACTAAAAAGTTTCTGCACAGCAAAAGAAACAATCAACAAAGTGAAGTAACTACCTCTGGTATGGGAGATAATATCTCAAACATACATCTGATAAGGGGTTAACATCCCACTTGGCGCCTATAGCACAGTGGTTACGGTGCCAGTCACATACACTGAGGCTGGTGGGTTAGAACCTGGACTGGGCCAGCTAAACAACAATGACAGCCGCAACAAAAAATTGCCGGGCATTGTGGCAGGCTCCTGTAGTCCCAACTACTTGAGAGGCTGAGGCAAGAGAATCGCTTAAGCCCAAGGGTTTGCAGTTGCTGTGAGCTGTGACGCCATGGTACTCCACTGAGGGAGACATTGTGAGACTCTCTCAAAACCCCCCCCAAAAACAACAACAAAAATACTGCATGATTAATAACCAAAAAACAACAACGACAAAAAACAACAAAAACAAAAAAAATACAGCATGATTAATAACCAAAATATATAAGGAGCTCAAACAATTCAATAGCAAAGAAACAAATAATCCGCTTTAAAAATGGGCCAAAGACTGGTAAAGACATTTCTTAAAAGAAGATATACAAATGGTCAGTAGGTATATAAAAAGGTGCTTAACATCACTATGTATCAGGGAAATACAAATTAAAACCACTGTAGGATATCTCCTTACATCTGTTAGAATGACTTTTATAATAAAAAAGGTAACATTGGCAAGGATGTGGAGAACCCTTATACGCTGTTGGTGGAAATGTAAATTATATACCCATTATGGAAAACAGCATGGAGGGTCCTCAAAAAATTAAAAATAGCCAATGAGCGTAGTGGCTCATGCCTCTAATCCCAGCTACTTAGGAGGCTGAGGTGGGAGGACTGCTTAAGTCCAGGAGTTCTAGGCTTCAGTGAGCTATGATTGTGGCACTGCATTCCAGCCTGGGCTACAGACTGGGACACCTATCTCTTAAATAAGTAAGAGAACAACAACAGAAAATAAATAAATAAAAACAGAAATACCATATGACCCAGTAATATCACTTCTGGGTATAGATTCAAAGGAAATGAAATAGTGTGTCAGAGGTATAAGCACTGCATGTTCACTGCAGCGCTGTTCATAGGCGGTGAGACATGGAACCAACCTAAGTTATCTACTAACAGATAAATAGTTAAACAACAACGTGGTATATATGCATAATAGAACACTCTTTAGTCTTAAGAAGGAAATCCTGTCATTTGTGGCAACATGTACAAACCTGGAGGACATTACAGTCAGTGAAATAAGCTATGTACAGAAAAATACTGCATGATCTTACTTATATGTAGAATCTAAAAACTCAAATTCCTACATAACGTGGAGAGTAGAATGGTGGTTACTAGGAGCAGGGAATGGAAAGATGCTGCTTAAAGGGTACAAAGTTTCAGTTAAATAAGAGAGTAAGTTCTGGAGATCTATTCCATAATAGCACAGTAAATATAAAATACTAATGTATGTTACACACATGACTGCTAAGAGTAGATTTTAAATACCTCAACACAGATAAGTATGTGAGGTGATAGATATATTAATCAGCCTGATTGAAATTCCACAATGTATAACTATGTCAAAACACCACAGTGTACACCGAAAATATACACAAGGCATCATTTATCAATTAAACATTTTTTTTAAAAAAGGAAAAAAATCTTTGTAAGGAAACAATCCTAGTAGGGAGGGACACACTCATACCATCTATGACTTCATATTATTTTCCCTGCCTCTATTGCCCAATTTCCTCATTTTATTCTTCTAGAAGCCTGTCAAATCTACTTTCATAAATTACCTTGCATTCTTTTTGAAAAAGATGAGCCCTTTTTAAAAAAAGGTAAAACTGAGTCAGAAGGAGTAAGTTCTATTTCCCTTTTTCAGTGACACCATTATCAAGTTGGTAACTTTAGGCAGGTCTTTCAGTTCCCTCCCATGTCAAGAACACATAAAGACCTTCTCTAGAGCTCCAGAGGCTTTTGTTATGGCAGCAAAAGACCCCGTGTGGAAAAATAGTTTGAACAATAAAAAGTACTATTAAAAAATGCCAGGAGGGCTGTACACCACATTCTGTTATCCTTACTGAGAGAACACATAAGTATTTATTTTGAACAATGAATAACTTTACTAAAGAATAATAACCTGATCGTACATTGTTTTCAGTAGGAGTCCTTTACTGTCCAACAACTTTAAGACTTCTTGGGATTTTTCACGATAAAATGATTCTCCTGAATATTCATCAAAGTATATTCCTAGGCGCTAATAGGATTCAGAAAAAAAAAAGAAAAAAAGTTATTTACATCTTCTATTATCTTACCCTAAGACAAAGTTAAGGGTGCTCTACCGTCTGTCACACAGATGGGGAAAATAAACTATAGATCAAGTTACTCCTTTACTCAAACCCAATAACTCCTAGGACAACAATCAAGCCCTCACAATAGTACTGTGCTGTCCAGTATCGCAGGCAGCAGGCTCTTGCAACTATGTAAGTGAAGATTAAACAAAATTGAGACTTTAGTTCCTCAGTCACACTATTCACATGTTGAGTGCTCAGTACACACACATGGCTAGTAGTCATCACACCAGACAGCAGCAATCCAGAGTACACCCACCACTGAAGAGGCTGCGTGGACAGTGTCGCACGTCACACCCACCCTTCAACTTTTCAACCTTCTTTCCTACTGTCATTCACCTGCTTGCTTACTCCAGATATGTGGGTTTCTTTACCCAAACTGCTCATTCTACCCACAGACAGCACACCTGGCCTCTCCAGCTAGCATCTAGCATCAATTAATGAACTCTAAATGTTTCTCTTTTAATTTGTTTAGCTTGCTCTTTGTCTCCAGGCTAAAATGTAGTAAGGTCCATGAGAGCAAGGATTTCACTGTTGTACTCCTTTCTTCCCCAATGCTTACTAAATGAATGAATTTATACCCATCACAAGTCTAAAGAAGTGAAAGAACAAAAAGAAAAAAATAAGGAATGATAGAAAAGAAAAGCCAAATGAGCCAGGTAAGGAGATGTGTGCCCATAGTCCCAGCTACTCTGGAGGCTGAGGTGGAAAGACTGCTTGTGCCTAAGAGTTCAAGATCACCTTAGGAAATGAAGTATCCTGATATTTCTTCTAAATTATTTTATAGTTCTTTCAGGCCAAAAGCCAATATTTTGAGCCCCATTTTTTAATTCAACCACAAATCTATTATTCTTAAGTCATGAGCTTAAGAAGCAGCTTTATGACACAGAACTAGTCAGGAGCAGCACCACTTCCTGGGTGAGCAGAGGGAGGGGCTGCAGGTACCTTATAAATCCGAATGTACTCTTCAATGCTCAAGTCCCGAAATTTTTGCCATAGTGAAAGTGCTTGCATGTTACCAGTTTCCAGACGGTGGAAGAACTCACGTGCTGATTTTGCTACAGTTTTATCATCTGCTGCTTCTTTATTAACTTGTACATAAACCTAAAAGTACAATAATACATTAAATGAACTACATTATAGGTCATGGGTGAGGAAAAACAAAACAAAACAAAACAAAGCACAGTTTTTCAGTAAGGAAAAAAAGGAAAAACATAATTCTAAGGATTCTCTTTAAAATTTACCCAAGTTGCCCTAAGTTACCCAAGTTACCCAAGTGACATAGTGTAACATTTTTTTCCTTTTTTTTGCCACAGGATCTTGGTGAAGCCTATAGACGCCTTCTCAAGATGTTTTTACATACATAAAATATACAGAATTATAAAGAAAGTAATTCCATTGAAATACATTTAACCAAATACTTAAAAAAATTAATTTGTAATAGAGAAATGCAGGAAAATTATCAATTTCTTGGAGAGGTTAGTGAAAATAAAGTATAATTTCTTCCTATCTAAGTCCACAGACCCCCTAGGTTAAGAAAGCCCAGTTAAGACTAAGCTATCATTTCTTGTGTTTTTTATCAAAATGCCAAATTATTATTCCTGCAACTTCTCTGAGAATGGCTGAAGGAAGAAGGATGGCTCAAACTGGCAACAAAAAAGCTGAAGGATAATTTAGCAGCTGAAAGATTTTTAAAGTATTCTCTGGACAGTTTGCTGTGAAAGACCAGGTGATGGTGGTAGAAAGCAAACCCTGTGGACAGTCAGTGGAATCACACTGGAACACACACTGCTGTGTGGGGCTCCCCTCCTGAGTGTTGTAGCACCATCTGTCTAGGCTGGTTCAGCTCTGCACCACCCAGTGACTGGAACCAGGCTGACAGCTTGTTAGGGGCTCACTCTTACAATTCTAGGATCCTGTGGAAACAGAGGATGCACTCAATTCTGCTAGGAACAAATTATGACACGTGTGAACTCTGCCAGAGGTGCTCACTTCCCAAGGAAGTTTTTCTAGTCTCCAAAATATAATGTTAATAAATGACATTAAAATATTAATATTACAGTTAAAGTAGTACTGAAGTTATGTATGTGGAATGAAAAGATTTTGCATACAAGTTGTAACTCACTTCCAGGTAGAAATATAAATGACAATTTAACTATCATATTATTTCCAGAAAACTCTTAAACTTACACAAAAGCAATATAAATTGGTAAATAAAGTACCCCCAAAATAAGGCTTCTAAACTCCTACAGTATTACCATCAAAGTACCATGGCAACAATATTTGGGAAGAAAAAATGATTTGAAAAAATGGAGCTTATACCCACTAGAAACTATCAACAAAAGGGAAAAATGTTTTACTGTTCACAGATGGCTTGCATTAACAACTGGGATGACAGGCTTAAATGAATACTACTACTAAATAAAAGTGAAAATTACCGAACCTTTTTTTTCTCTTTACTTCATACTATGCAGAAAGGAATTAATATATCAGGCCTGAGATGGCCTTTTAAAACATCCTGCTTACAATGTTGGCCCCTGGCAGGAATCTTGGAACCAGGATTTGGGAATGTTTCCACCAACCTAAATGATAAAAGTGGTTCACTGCGCCTACTGTGCAAGGAATACAGTTTATGCTGAACACTTGCTTTACTCCTGGAGTTTGAAATTAGGTTACCTGCTAGGTAGAGGGTGCCTACCTGACCAGTCCCCAATAAAAAACTCAGACATGGAGTATCCAGTGAGTGTCCCTGGTAGAGCGTTCATATATGTTGTGATCTGTTCCTAGTAGAACTGAGTGCGTCATCTGTTACTCTCTTAGAAGCATGAGCCCGGTTTTCTCTGGACGTTACATCTCAGGTTTGTCTTTTTCCCTGTGTTAATCTTACCTCGTATGCTTCCACTCTACTAAATCACAGCCATGAGTATAATTACATATGCACATGCTGAGTTCCTGTGACTCGTCCCAGTCAATTACTGAATCTGGGGGTGGTCTTGGAGATATTTGACACGTATCATAAAAAACTGATTTCATGAGGTCCTATTAGTAAGTCTAGTATATGGCCAGTTAGAAAACAAAAAAAGATTTTGGTAAGATGTGGGTAAACAGAAAGGGTCCCTGGAAGAGAGTGAATGCAGACTTCCTCACTTTTGAATGACCTACTCATCAATGACTGTGTTAACAGTCCAGCTCCAGATTACAGGAGTAAAGACATAAATGTATATTCATGTGCACACATAACTGTCTTTATTTTAGAAAAGATTTTAGTTTGTCCACTTTGCAAACTGACTTTATTTTTAGAAAAGACTTTAGTTTGTCTAGTTTGTTTTATAATTTAGGACTTTATACCCAAAGAGCCAAACATTTAAAAATCAGCTGGGCATGGTGGCTCATGCTTATAATCCCAGCACTTTGGGATGCTAAAGTGGGAGGATTGCTTAAGGCCAGGAGTTCACAACCAGCCTGGGCAATATGGTAAGACCCCACCTCCACAAAAAACAGAAAAGTTAGTTAGACACCTGTAACCCCAGCTACTTGGGAGGCTGAGGCAAGAGAACTGCTTGAGTCCAGGAGTTTAAGGTTACTGTTATGGATATAAATATTTTAGAAAAGAAGTCACTAGAATCTTTTATCTTAAAATTTAAAATAGAAATAATTAACAAGAGCCTTTCCTTGAAGATTTCTGGCATTTCAGCAATTTATAGGTGTTTTTTTTTTTTAAGACAGCTTTGTGAAGGATAGACAGTAGGAGCAATGGCAAAGTGAAGCAACTGCCAGGATGGAGGAAAGGAAAACTTCCCAGACTGGGGAGAACATGGGGAACACCCACTTGCAGGAGTAGCAGAAGCTGGCAGCCTTGGGTAGGGTGAGGGGAAGGTGGTAGGCCCTCAGAGGGCAAGGTTCCTAGTATGCTTATACAGTGAGGTTGGCCTCCAGGCTGCACAGGCAAAGTTGGAAAGTTGGTTACAAAGGCAGAGCTGTGTGCCTCCAACGCACCACATAGGCTGGGACATTAAGCTTATCAGAGGCCAGTGTGAACTGCAGACAAAAGGCCTTTTGACCATGCTAGGAGGCATATAAGAGCCTGGGACTTTGTGTGATTTGGGAGGTAGGGAATCCCTAGTAACAGTGACTAACTACTCTCGAAAGTGATAGCAATGGTCAAATTTTATTAGACTTATAACTTAAGAGCAATTTTTTATATAAGTAAGTATTACTAAGGAACAAAATTCATATCAAGATTCATTAATAATATTCCCTCTTATTATTAAGGGAGGAGGGAGGGGGACTGGTGTACTTCTACTTAATGGGCACATATATGAGACACCTCTCGGGTGCAGAACACAACTACAAGAAAGACTACCAAACAAATGCAAACATTGTAACCTAGTTGTGTGTACCTTCTCATTAATCTGAAATTAAAAAAAGAAGTTTCCTGAAAAAAGAAATGTGACCTAACCACAATTTTTAACACACAATTAAACACAATTTTTTTTTTCGTTTTTGAGACAGAGCCTCACTATGTTGCCCTTGGTAGAGTGCCATAGCATCACAGCTCACAGCAACCTTTAACTCCTGGGTTCAAGCGATTCTCCTGCTTCCATCTCCCAAGTAGCTGGGACTACAGGCGCCTGCCACAATGCCCGGCTATTTTTTGGCTACAGCCTTCGTTGTTTGGCGGGCCTGGGCTGGATTCGAACCTGCCAGCCTGGGTGTATGTGGCCAGCGCTATAACCACTGCACTATGGGCACCTAGCCAAACACAATTTTTTTTTTTTTTAAAAATTTCCAACCGCACCTGACTATACCTAACTATAATTGATTCAGTCTGGAATTCTTTACTTAAGCTGGGGAAATTGTTTTGAGAATCTAAAGTGAGGAATACATTGTCTTTTGAGGAAGAGAAACTACTTCCCACATTTTAGAAAATAAGAGCAAGTAAACATTATCCTTCATCAAATCGGTGCTTTGATCTTACCCTGTTTGTCTACTTACTACTTTTTTTGGCTTTTGATACAAAGCTCAGAATCAAATCCATTATATAATCTTATCTAATGATACATTATCCCCTAACTTTCTAATTCTCTTTTATTGAAAGTCTACCACTGTAACTGCCTCATCCTTTTAGAAAGGGGCAGGTTAGAAATAATGAAAGAATTTGTGGGGTCATTTTGAGCTTAAGAAGAACAGACTATTTATGTCACTGTATCATGTTACCTTTACAAATGCCAGTGCTAGGTAGGATAGGATAAAGGGCTAACATATCCCTTACTGACATGACATTTATGTCTTATGAAGGGCTGCCCTTATATTTCAGAGGACTTTCATAGCTATACAATCTATATTATTAATAATAAGCAATAAGCAACGAGTCAAGTTCTGTTTTAAAAAAGTAGTTCTATATTCTTAAAGGTACTGTGTTAGACATTATCAAAGTCTATTCAAATAGTTTATATCTAGAAAGGAAATGTAGAAAGAGAAAACATAGAAAGAAATCTGAGAAGTCATGTTAGTCCATATTGCACTGCTATAAATTACCCAAGGCTGTGTAATTTACAAACAGAAGAGGTTGATTAGGCCATGGTTCTGCAGGCTTTACCAGCAGCATCATGCCAGCATCTGCTTCCTTAAGGGCATAAAGAAGCTCCTGATCAAGGGGGAGCAGGCAAGTCACTGGATGAGAAGAGCCAGGGCGGGAGATGGGAGTGCCAGGCGCTTTTACACAACAAGCTCTCAAGTGAACCAATAAAGTGAGAACTCATTCACTATCACTGGGAGGGCACCAAGCCATTCAGAAGGGAGCTGCCCTTATAACCGAAACACCTCCCAACAGGCCCCCCCATTCAATATTGGGTCCAAAGTTCCATGTATGATTTGGAGGGGACAAATATCCAAAGCATATCAAGTGCCTTTTAAAAAGTATTATTAAAAGAGATAAAAGTAAACAATGACATCCATATACAGAAGATTTGGATTTAATACTTGTCAATATTTTATCATAAGAAATTTTCAGAAATTTCTGAAAATGTTCTGAATCTGATTACAAATGTTTTCCTTGGCTCGGCGCCTGTGGCTCAAGCGGCTAAGGCACCAGCCACATACAC